CTTCCATCTCACAGAAGTGTGTGTGTGTGTGTGTGTGTGTGTGTGTGTGTGTGTGTGTGTATGCTGTGAGATATATATCTCATACACACACACACATATATATTGCCTATTTTAACTCTAAATCCTTATGACACCGTGAGCACCTGCCTGTTCACAGGCACTAAATAGTATTTGTGTGATGAATTAGCCACTGAGTATCTCAGCGCCTTATTGTCACTGGAATGATTGTATGCTTTTCCGTGATAGCTTTGAAAGACAGTAACTTGCATATGGAAATTCTGATTTGGGGCCTTCTTTTAAATGGGTTCCATTATCCTAACTAGAAGGGTCAGTGTGGCAAAGGAGCCATGAAGTTTAACTAGTGGGTTGAAGTCCTGGCCATTGCTATGTTAGAGCTCTGTGACCATGAGCCATTCTTTTATTTTCTTTCTTTCTTTCTTTCTTTCTTTCTTCCTTCCTTTCTTTCTTTTGTATGGTGGTTTGCCTGTCTGTGCATACATTCGTATACCTGGTGCCCATGGGGGCCACAAGAGGACATCAAATCGGGAACTGGAATTAAGGACAGTTAGCCATCATGAGAGTGATGGGAATCAAAGTTGTTGCAATAATAGCAACAAGTATTCTTAACTGCTGAGACATCTCTACAGCCCCGAATTACATGATTAACTTTAAGGTGTTCTGAAATCTTTTCCATCTTGTCACTGGATTTTCGTCATCTCAATTGGCCTAAACTGTCATCTAAATTGTCACCAGTTTTAAGTGTGAGACTCTGATGGTGAGACCTCAAACTAGCGTATCAGTATTTGTACAGATCTTAAGTTAACTTACTCATTTACATATACTGGGAATGCAAAACTAGAAAGAAATATGAAACCAAACTACTCAGTGAGTGCTACCTACTTTGAACAAGCAAAGATAAGTGTGGCGATCTGAATGAGAATGGCCCCTATAGCTCATACATTTGCAAACTTGGTGCCCAGTTGGTGGAGGAGGGATTAGGTCTTGTAGAGGATGTGTGTTACTGGCTTTGAGGTCTCTACCTCCTCATCTTCGGATGTGAGCACTTGCTGCCATCATGTCTCCCCCTCTCCATCATGGACACTAACCCTCTGAGACTGAAAGCCCAACTGAACACTTTGTATGATGTGTCGCCCTACCAATGGAGTCTCATCACAGCAATGGACAATAAGCTTTTTAATTTTTTTCTTACATTTACTTATTGGTTTTGTTGGGGGTGGTTTCACACCACAGCACTCATGTGGGAGTCAGAAGCCAGCTTGAGGATATGACTTCTCTCCTTCCACCACGTGAACCCTGGGGATTGAACTCAGGTCATCAGGCTTGGTGTCAGACATGTTGACTCCCATGGAGCCATCTCAAAAGCCCAGCAAATAAGCTTTTAACTCGAATCAATTCTCAATGCACTGTACTTGGAGAAACTTCCCTTGGAAATGTTTTCACAGCCATTCAGTATGTGCTGAGCAACTGTGCACTGACATGGTGATTAAGAGCCGCCTAAAAACATAATGATTAAGAGCCAAAAACAATTCACTTTGATGGAATTTACGTGAGGGCACCAGTGAGAAACATTTAGTAATCCACTAATGTTGTACAGGAAACATAATAACAAGTGCTAAGAAAAAAACAGTAGTCAAAGTAACAGGTACAAAAATTAAAATTAGTTAGAAAAAGTTTAGGTTTCAGAAAGGTGGGTGTCTGAGCTATTTTGAAAAAGAAACTTTTTTTTTTCTTTTCTTGCTTTTTCCAAAAAGGGTTTCTCTGTGTAGGTTTGGAGCCTGTCCTGGAACTCTGTAGCCCAGGCTGGCCTGGAACTCAGAGATCCACCTGCATCTGCCTCCCAAATTCTGGGATTAAAGGTGTCTGCCACCATCACCCAGTTGAAAAAGAAACTTAAAACAAAAATAAATTTAAAGGGGGTGGGGCTGGCTGCTCTTCCAGAGGACCACCCAAGTTCAATTCCCAGAACCCACATAGCAGCTCACAACTGTCTGTAACTCCAAGATCTGACACCCTCACACAGGCATGCAGGCAGGCAAAACACCAATGCACGTAAAGTTAAAAAAAAATTAAAAAGAAACTTTTTTCAATGAGTCCCAACCAGAAAGGAATCAGTGAGACAGAGAGGTGTACTGTGGATAAATGATCTAAAGGTTTGCATAAGCTGAAGATGGTGTCTTTTATTGGGAGCATAATTTGATAACTGGAGGCTACTACAGATTTCCAAATAGAGTCACTTCTTTTCTGAGTAAGTGGGGAATGAGATGCACTGGGGCTCCTGGAAGAACTTGAATGTAGCCTCTTTAGTGATGAGTGTAAAGATGACAGGCCAGATGAAGAACCAGTCAAGAGGGGAGCAGGGGAGAGGTGTTTAGGGCACAGTTTCGGTTAGGAAAACTAAGCTGAGGAAATCTATGGTAATGGCTATAATTAATAACAACATACCATATACCTGAAAATTGCTAAAATAATAGATTCGGTGTCATCACAGAAAAAAAAGAGGCAGCTATGTGAGGTCATACATGTGTTACACAGATTGACTTGGATATATCTGTTGTATATCATACAATTTTAACCAAATATAGCAACATCTAGTCACGGTGGCACACACTAGTGATCCCAGAACTCGGAAGACAAGCGTAGAAGGACAGGCATTCAAGGTCATCCTTAACTACACAGCAAGGTCAAGATCAAAACAAGAGGCTCAGTTAAAAAGAGTAATAAATCTTGGTGATACGGTTAGAGTTGAGGGTGTTGGCTAGAATGAGTGACTGACTCTAGGCTGTGGGTCCTGGAGGGGCCATGAGGAGACAGCGGCTGCCAAGGAAAAGGGGACATTGAGTCAATCTGAAGGTTCCCATGAAGAAAACAAGTTCTGAACAACAAGTCTGAAAAATAAGGATATCCCAGGGGGAATGGACCAAATTGAATGTAGAGACTCTGAGGTTCACAGGTGCGCCTGGGTGGAAGGATGAGTGGCCACAGAGAACAAGCCACCGGTAAAGGCTCAGTGGCAAAAAGGAGAGAAACCTTCAAGTGAGAAATGATCCAGAACCATGATCAACAACAAGGCCACGGCCAGTCAGGGTAAGAGTAGTGTTCTGGTTCGTGTCTCCCCGGACTCCTCTTAGTGCATCCTGAACTCTCCCAGAATCGTCAAAAATTACCGAAAGCAGAGAAGATGTGCTCTTCCCATGAGTCCAACTTTGAGCCGAAGTCTTCCGAGAGCGGTGGATAGGTATCAAAACTCTGACCTTGAGAACCAGAGTCACAGACGCCTCCTCCAGCTCTGTTGGGATCTGGAAGGCAGTTCACATCTGCCTGCAGAGGCGGCTGGGGCTTCAAACATCTTGCTTCAGTCCCTGGAGCAGAGCGATGGAGCCAAGCTTCCCGCCTTGCTGATAAGGGCTGAAACCACTTCCCACTCTGGCGCCTGGACTTGGCCCGTCTGTTCTGGAACCACACCTGGGAGACAGGAGGAAAACACCGCACAGCTGCTTTGAGTTGGAGTTTTTGTTGTTGGTTTGGGGGCTTTTATTGAGATAGCATCAAACTTAGGTTGTCGCCAAGGATGACTTTGACCTTGAATTTCCAATTCTCCTTCCTCTACTTCCCCAGAGCTGGGGTTATAGGCATGCATCACCACACCTGGTTTGTGTGGAGCTGGCACAGCACCATGCACGCTAGGCAAGCCCTCTACAAAGCAAGCTATCCCCAGACTGGCACAGAGTTCTTCCCTATCAGCTTGTTCTCAACGAGCAATATAAATGCCAGTTATTATTAGCCATGGCTCTCTGCTCAGAGCCTGTGGTTTACAGAAAGCACTTGAGTTGGTTTTTGATGGTTGGGGCACCAGACTTCTCCAGGCATTCTCAGATGCAAAGCTGGAGTGGAGCCTGGTTCTGTCTACACTTGCTATACTTGGTTTGTTTGTCTGTTTTTCATTTTACACATTAAAAAATAAATGAAAGACGGGTCGCCAGGCCTTGGTGGCGCATGCCTTTAATCCCAGCACTGGGGAGGCAGAGGCAGGTGGATCTGTGAGTTCGAGGTCAGCCTGGTCTACAGAGCGAGTGCCAGGACAGTTCACACTGGATATACAGGCAGGGATGCCCTTTGGTCCCTTGATTCTTCTGCCTCCTAAGTGTCCTAAGTGCTGGGATTTCAGGCATGGGCCAGCACACTCACCTGTCTACACTTTATATGGGACTTTTGCAATGAGAAAAGAGGTCACAGAAGTAAGGGCGCCAAAGTTCTTGGGCAACAAGACAGGGCTACTCTGCCTTGGTGACAGACTTTCAAATTATTTAGAGTCCAGTTTTGAATGTCTGGACTCCCCTGTCAAAGCACGTAGGTATTTTTCCTTAATGAACCTCATTTCTGTGTGTAAATTTCTTTGCTGTGTCTCCATGATCACTCAATGTGGCCTGCTTAGGAAGCCTCTGGTGACAACTGTTGAAAGTGACAGCTGAAGCTGGGTGGTTGTAGTGTATACTTTTAATCCCAGGGCTCCAGGGAAACAGAGGCAGGCGGGATCTCTGAGTTGAAGCCAGCCTGGTATATCAGAGCGAGTTCTGGGCTGGCCAGAAAAAAGGCGGGGCTGGGGCTGGGAGCGGTCCACACTCTCCTTGGATTAAATGAGGCCTCCTACATAAAACTGCATTTGGGGGCACAGACTAACAGTCAGGACGGCGAGTTTCTAATTTGGGGGAGGGAGGCGGAGAGACAAAGCTGTAATCCAAGCACTCAGGAAGCTGGAACAGGAGGATTGTGAATTCAAGTCCAGCCTGCCTACT